TAATGGCATCCAGAACAATAAATCCTTTCCAGAACATTTTCAATTGACTTTGCCCAGATTCATCGAGGAATCACTATCTATGGCAGCTATATATTTTATTTTGGAATAACATTATACTTACAGAAAAGATGCAATAATGCTACAAAGAGGTCCCTAATACTCCTCACCCAGTTTCCTCTAATGTTAATATCTCAACACAACCATAATACATTTATCAAAACTGAAAAACCAACATTGACACATTACTATTAAATAAATTCCAGACTTTATTTGGATGTCACCAGTTTTTCCATTAATGTCTTTTTTCTGTTCCAGAATCCAATCCAGGATTCCATATTTCATTGATTTTTTTTTTTTTTTGAGACAGAGTCTCGCTTGTTGCCCAGGCTAGAGTGAGTGCCGTGGCGTCAGCCTAGCTCACAGCAACCTCAAACTCCTGGTCTCAAGCGATCCTCCTGCCTCAGTCTCCAAGTAGCTGGATTACAGGCATGCACCACCATGCCCGGCTAATTTTTTGTATATATATATTTTAGTGGTCAATTAATTTCTCTATTTTAGTAGAGACGGGATCTCGCTCAGGCTGGTTTCGAACTCCCAACTCGAGCAATCCACCTGCCTCGGCCTCCCAGAGTGCTAGGATTACAGGCGTGAGCCACCGCGCCCGGCTCATTGATTTTTTTATTCCACCATTTTTATTATTATTCCACCATATATATTATATATTATTATATATAATATATATTATTATATAATATTTCACCATAGTTTTTTGAGACAGGGTCTCTCTCTGTTGCCCAGGCTAGAATGCCATGGCAGTCAGTCTAGCTCACAGCAACCTCAAACTCCTGGGCTCAAGTAATCCTTCTGCCTCAGCCTCCGAGTAGTAGCTGGACTACAGGCATGTGCCACCATGCCAGCTAATTTTATATATATATATTAGTTGGCCAATAATTTCTTTCTATTTATAGTAGAGACGGGGTCTCGCTCTTGCTCAGGCTGGTTTCGAACTCCTGACCTCGAGCAATCCGCCCACCCTCGGCCTTCCAGATGCTAGGATTACAGGCGTGAGCCACCCGCCCGGCTCATTGATTTTTATTCCACCATTTATTATTATTTCACCATATATATTATATATTATTATATATAATATATATTATTATATATATTATTATTTCACCATATATGTATATATATATATATTTTTTGAGACAGGGTCTCTCTCTGTTGCCCAGGCTAGAATGCCATGGCATCAGTCTAGCTCACAGCAATCTCAAACTCCTGGGCTCAAGCAATCCTCCTGCCTCAGCCTCCCAAGTAGCTGGGACTATAGGCATGTGCCACCATGCCTGGCTAATTTTTTCTATATATTTTTAGTTGTCCAGCTAATTTCTTTCTATTTTTAGTAGGATGGGGGTCTTGCTCAGGCTGGTTTCGAACTCAAGACCTTCAGCAATCCTCCCACCTCAGCCTAGAGTGCTAGGATTACAGGCGTGAGCCACCACACCCAGCCATTATTCCACCATTTATATTTAATGCAATTACTGATATGGCCAGGCTTAAGTCAGCTAGGTTTAAGATATGGCTGGGTGTCAACATGCTATTTGTTTTTTATTTGTCCCATCCTATCTTTGTTCTTCCCTTCCTGACATCTTGTAGCTAATCAAGTACTCTTTAGTATTCCATTTCACCTGGAGACCTGCCTGCACTACTACATCTTCTTAACCCTCATTAATAACCTCCCCCGGTGGACCGCATCAGGCATTCAGACCCCAAAGAAAAAGAAAAAAGGTGTTGTTCTGCTCCTCATGCAGGGCTTAAAACTCAAGTTTCATTACCATCTTTCCCCACCAAGGACTGGCATGCCGGGGACACAGAAAGGGGCACCTAGGGCACGGACCACCATGGCCGGCTGGGCCAGCTCTGGCTGTCGCTGCCAGGTGACTTACTTAGCCATATCAAAGGGCTGGAGTTCTGAGAGCAAGAAACATCACTGGAGCAAAAACTGCAGAGGAAGTTACAGATGTGGAATACTCAGTAGTGAGTTGTGAGGTTGAAATAAACCCTTTTCTACACCAACAATAACAAATCCATTAGGCTGAATTATCTTTCTGTTCTTTTTTATTAAAATATTACATAATCATTGTTATAGGATGAGGTGATCAAAGAGTATGCAGCCAAAATGTTGGGGGAAATTATCAGGGGATATCAGACAATTAATGTTATTCTGGATTTTATGATGTTTGCGACTTCCCTCATATATTGTCATTTCTGTTGTCATTCCAAATACATACTCACTTTCATATCTAATTTTGTACACGTAATTTTTAGTTATTCTTCTTAAAGATCACCCTTCCCAAACTGTGTAAACTTCAGGCTAGATCCACCCTTGCTCTTTGCTTTTGTTCCTACCATCATAATTTATACTTTGAAATGTATACATACATGCACATATATATTTATACATATTCTCTCTCTCCCACCCAAACACACACAGAGAGAGAGAGAGAGAGAGAGAGAGAGAGAGAGAGGAAGAGAGGGAGAGAAATTTTGCAGTTTTGTTTTCTAGCTCTTATTATATGAGCTGCATTTTTTCTTTTTTCTCCAGGGAACTTGGGGGTGTACAATACATTAGGGAAGTCAGAAACATCATAAAATCCAGAATAACATGAACTGCCTGATATCCCCTGATAATTTTGAGTCACATCATACACAGCATATTAAAAGGTCTTGTTAGGGACAGCTGCAGGTTGGCAGCACTAACCACAGGAAAAGAGGAGGGGGGCAAAAATGAGGAGGCCAATGAGCATAAGATAATACTGATGTCTGTGATGTCTTTGCCCTTTTTATGCTATCAAACCTCAGATTGCTGCCTTTTAAAAAAGTTCTTATAAAAATCTTTTATTGTGGTAAAATATACAAAAATTTTAGCATTTTAATAATTTTAAAGTTTCCAATTCAGTGGAATTAAGTTTTTTGCATTTTGTGCAACCATCCCCATTATCTCCAAAACTTTTTCATCATCCCTACCTGAAACTCTGTGCCCATTAAATACTAACTCCTTATCACTCCCTGATGATGACTGCTTTTTTCCTACCATTTCTTTTCTATCTGGTGTTGCTTCATTCATCTTAGCATCAAAATAGCTATTTCTCTCCTTCCCCCAAATACTCTGCCAGCTATAACTTGGTAGGAACTGTAAAAGCCATTTTAAAATCTGTTAACATTTTTTGAACTCAAACATTAATATGGTTCCAACTTGATTTTTAAGCCCTATTTCTGTCCAGAACCCTATGTTAAAGTGAAAGAAAACAGCTGTCATTCACTCTGCTTTCTCCCTTCCACACCTTTGTTCCTGCCATTTGGAATGTCTTATTTACCCCTTCCTATTGCTATCTACGCCTATGGAAATCCTTCAATGTCCAGCTCATAGTCTAACTTCTGCATGAGATTGTAGTGATCCCTCTCTGCCCTCTCATCTCTTACTACAGCTATTATCTAAAGTAATCATAATAGAAATTCTATACTGCAGTTATGTTCCTTTTATGTCAACCATACTGAGCTCCTCAAAACAGAAATTAAGCTATAATATTTTGTTCATTTAATCATTTTCATATTTTTCACTCAGCCAATGCTGTCCACTATATACAAAATGCCCAAAAATGTTTGCTGAATAAACAAAGATAATTCTAAGTCACTCTGCTTTCATGGATGAGTCAATAAACTCCCCAGCTCTTCTGCTTGGATTTTTTAAAAAGGTAATTATATTTACTTCTAGGTCTTGTGTTCTAGATGGTTAATAATCATCTGTAATATGATAAACCTATTACATCAGTTAGCATCAGATTAACAAAGTATATTTCTGAATTAAATCACTCCTACTTTGCCAATCTGGAAATTTGTTTGTACAATCAAATCTGAATGATTCCATTGATTCTAAAAAAGATTGCAATGCTCCAGGTAGTCATCATTATTCACAATTCCCACGCAGGGCAAGATCCTGCAGTTTTCCTTAGCTTCTTGTATTTTTACTGGATGTCAAAGAGAACAAGGTACACGTGTAAGGGAATAAGAGCTGGTAGAAATTTTCCGCGTTTGGATCAGTGCTTCTTTCTCTGCAGCATAACTCCAGCTGAGTTGTTGTCACTCTGCCACTCGGCTTCTCGCTGGCCAAGCCTCTCCTGGGAAAAGAGGGAAGGGAAGAAATTGCCACGGAGACATGGTTTTTCAAGGGATGACTCTACCCTGGACTCAGCGCCACCGTTTTCCATTCAGTGCCAAGTACTGCATTCCTCCTATTACTTTCTCTGTCAGTGAGACCTATATGCGCCAGCAAATTTAATTGATTCTAAGGGTAAAGATATTAATAATAAATACCACTTATATTGCTTTACAATCCACACTTCCACTCGTTATTTCATGTGAGCTTTTAAACAGCTCTGGGAAATAGGTATTATTTCTATTACAAAGAAGAGGCAACATTGCTCAAGAGCTATGGGGCCCATGGACCACAGGGCTTATACTCAAATCCGGAGGCTGCCACCACTCTGAACCTTAAACTTCGGAGAAGACCGCAGTCCGGCGGTCCACGGCCACTGCCAACACTTCTCCCTCTGGAGCTTCCCCAGATATCCCACCTGCCTTGGATTCCGGGCAGCGGTTACCTTCTCGCCTGGCCCATCTGAGCCGCAACCAGACACCATTTACCCGCTTTCCCCAAGCCAGGAAACTACCAAGACGTAGGTGCGCGTTCGGCCTTTTCCCCGCCCGAAAGTGCAGAGCGTACAGGGCGAGGCCCCAAGGCCTCTCACCCCAAGAGTTACCCAAGAACCCGGACTAGGCATTGGTTGGCTTGCTCGGGGTTCCAACGCCCACCCAAATATCACAGAAGCTCCCAGACGCGGGCTCGTCACTCCCGCGATCACAGGCCGCTCTAGCCCTGCGTGGAGCCGGCAATCTCGCTGCTCCCGCCTGACGTCATCGGCCGGCGCCACAGCTCAGTGGCGGGCACGCGCAGCCGAGAAGATGTCTCCGACGCCGCCGCTCTTCAGTTTGCCCGAAGCGCGGACGCGGTTTACGGTGAGCTGTAGGAGGGAGGGCGCGGGCCTGACCCGGCGCTATCTTTTGCCTTTCTCTCCTTGAAATTATTCGAATTTTGCCCTGGGGTAGGTTTGTCCGCCGCAGCGTCTGCTCCCGGCCCCGTCGAGGGCGGAGAGGTAGGGAAAGACGCACAACCTGCCTCTTCCGTGCGTCCTCTGCTGTCCGCCTCCGTCCACCCGCCAGCCGGGCCCCGAGCCCCGCGTTCTGGGTGCCTTAGGGCCCAGCGTGGAGAGCTCACCTGCAGACCGCCTCCGTTCCTGTCCAGCCCCTCTGCTCGCTTAGTGGAGCAGGTGTCTCTGAAACTGGAAGGGGAGCTGCAGAAGGGGGAGAGTGGGAGTGGTCTCAGCCCAAAGTCCTGGCTCCGGTCCGGGCTTAGGAGCTGCCAAGTGGTTGTTCCGGCTGCCTGTTCATCACCCTTCAACCCTCAGTATCTCACCCCTAAGAGATCATTGAGGAGGTTCTTTCTATGCGAGAAAAGGCTTGGAAAGGGTTACCAGATACCATGTTATTCTTGCCCAATAGAGAAGGGTAGTTTGACCGTTTTGGAAACACTTTATGGAGTGGCTTCGTGTTAATTCATTTAACTATAACACTAACATTGTGAAACAGGCCAAGTTTTATTATCTTTGGTACATGAGATAGAAACTGACACCCCCCAAAAGTTGTAACTTACTTCACTGGTTTTTCTGACTTCAGACCTTTTATTTTGGTTGCACGTCTCAGTAACATATGTATGAAGAACACCGTTCTAAGTAGTTTGTATTCGTCTCTAGTATTTGCACCAACATTTCAAGGCATGATTTAGCCACTCAGATATTTAACTGTGTTTAGGTAGTTAGTGATGCTAGAATGAAAATTCTGTGAAAGAAAATTGATTCTTTGTAGTTAGTAGTTTTCTTGTTTGCAAGTATTTTCTTTCATACAGTGTAGTTAGTTGGTTTGAGACAGAGTCTGGGCTAGAGTGCTGTGGCATCAGGCTAGTTCATAGCAACCTCAAACTCCTGGGCTCAAGCAATCCTTCTGCCTCAGCCTTCCCAGTAGCTGGGACTACAAGCATGTGCCACCATGCCCCGCTAAATTTTTCTATATGTTTTTAGTTGACCAGCTAATTTATTTTTATTTTTAGTAGAGACGGGGGGTCTCACTCTTGCTAAGGCTGGACTTGAACTTCTGACCTTGAGCAATCCTCTCGCCTTGGCCTCCCAGAGTGCTAGGAATACAATAAGCGTGAGCTACCACGCCATGTGGTTTGTTTTTTGACTGATTATGTCTTGTCAATGGCATCAGAATCATTTTCTTCATATATCTTGTTGATGGCATCAGAATAGTTTTCTTCGTGTGAATTTTGCTACAATCCCTACTGTTTTGAAATTCTGCTAAGAGTAACTGTTAGAACTATCCAAGATCATATTAGTCCTGAAAGGGATCATTTAATTGGAGATTATCTATTCTAGTGCTTCTCAAGCTTCAGTGTGTGGTGGGATTACCCAGAAATTTTGTTAAATGCAGATTGTAGTTCAATAAGTCTAGAATGGGGCCTGAGGTTCTGCATTTCTAATAAGTTCCTAGGTAATGCCACTATTGCTGCGGCTGCTGGTAATAAGGATCTACAACCACCCTCTTATTTAACTGGCGAGAGAAATGACATAGAGATAAAGGGGTAGGCCCCAAAGTACTCAGCCTATTAGTGGCAGAGCCAAGAATGGACATTTCCAATATAGATTTAACTCTTGTGAGGTAATAAGATGACTTTCTAAGTGTGTGTGAATTTTCACAGAATGAATGATTTTGCAATACTTTTGTCTTTAAATTATGACTAGGGCCCGTCGTGATGGCTCACCCCTGTAATCCTAGCACTCTGGGAGGCCAAGGCGGGCAGATCATTTGAGCTCAGGAGTTTGAGACCAGCCTGAACAAGAGTGAGACCCCATCTCTACTAAAAAAAAAAAGTAGAAAGAAATTAGCTGGACAACTAAAAAAATATATATATATATATATACACACACACACACAGACACACATACACACATATATAAAAAATTAGCTGGGCATGGTGGCGCTTGCCTGTAGTCCCAGCTACCTGGAGGCTGAGGTGGGAGGATCCCTTGAGCCCAGGATGAGGTTGCTATGAGCTAGGCTGACGCCATGGTACTCTAGCCAAGGCAACAAGAGTGAGACTCTGACTCAAAAAAAATAAAATTATGACTAATTTAACACAATTAGCAGGTCCTTATGCAGTGTTTACTATGTGTCAGGCACTGCACTGATCAAGATACCTACAGAAAGTAGAACTTAAGATGGGTCTGGGAGAATGGATAGAATTTGGATGAGCAGGTGGGAAGAACAAGATGAATGTGTAAATACACTAGAATGAGCTTGATAGAAAATGATGAAAAATTTTGGTCTTTATTGCAGGGTGTGTGTTAGGGAGTAGTGAAAAACAAGGTTCGAAAGATGGAGTGGGATAACATCAAGGACCTTGAAGGAGCTATGAAACTTCAAAACCAAAATGTGTAAATACGGAGCCATTTGGATGTTTTGGGGGGGGGTTTTGGAAAAAAAAACAATACTCTCATGAATATGATATTTAAAGATATAGTAGAAGGAAAAACCTAGAATGAAAAAGTCTACCTGGGAAGCTCTTGCTGGATTTAAAGTGAGGAGGATCTGTTTCATCAAGTGGCATTTGGAATAAGGATTACCAAGATAATGACTGATAGATAATTTTTCCCAGGTATAAATATTTTTTAGTTAGATATCAATGCATGACATGTTTTTCAGTAAATAATAAGAAAAATCTTTCCAATTATTTGCCATTTTCATTTTTCTAGAAGTCTACCAGAGAGGCCTTGAACAACAAAAATATCAAGCCATTATTGAGTACTTTCAGCCAGTTACCTGGCAGGTAAGTCATTAATATCTATGACAAATAGTTGCCTGAATCTTTATACTTACCCTGAGCTGTTTAAAAAATGAGGTGTCTTTTCTTTTTAATAGTGAAAATGAAAAAAAATGTACCCTTGATCAGGCTTTCAGAGGTGTACTAGAAGAAGAAATTGTAAGTATGTTTTTTCTTTAATCATTGTTCAAATTTTGCTCACAAATTAATAAACCATGTTTTTTAAAAAGTGCTTTTATTCTTAGAATAGATATTTACATTTTTTTTTCTAGAGTAAGCTTGCTGCCTTATGAAAACTGAGTTGATGATAGTATAGGAATTTTGATAGCATGGGTGCAATTTCAGGGTTTAGTTTAATAAATGACGAGCGCCCTCTCTAAGTGAGATAAGAAAAGTTAACATAAGATCTTAGCAAGAACCAGAGGTTAAAGCTGGGCTCTCTCAATTTGCTGTATGAACAGTCAAGTTGTATAAGTGACACAAAAGAGTGGCATCCTCAACAAGGATGTTGAGCTTAGCTAGGATTCCATGCTTTCATTTTGCTATGGCATCCTCCATATTCTAAGCCCTCTCCAATGTCAGTGGAGAAATCTAACCATAAAAAATCTGAATTTATTTACCTAGAGTGGGGTACCTGAATGAAAGGAAAAGTTTCAGTCATTCATTCTTTGTCAAGCAGAGATTGGGTCCCCAAGACCTATATTCTCTTCTAATGGCCATAAAGCAGTGTGCCTTGCTCTCAGACAATTCTATATCAAAATGATTCTCTCCCTTTCTTTGGACTTAGTCACTTTTTTGTCGTGAGGCATTGGGCAAATTGCTTTTCTTTTCTGAGCTTCAGTTTCATCTGTAAAAGGGGAAATAGCATTCTCAATGTTGTTGTGTAAGACAACACTGAATGAAAATTCAATAAATGTTGGTTATTATGATTTTATAGACATTAATCACTACCTTCCTTATATTAAAAATCTTCCTTAGACACGTTGATGCACCAGTACATACACCTGGCCCAGCTCTTGCGCTGAGCCACTGATTGAGTTATGGCCTCAGCACTTTTGTGCTTGATTAGCTTATAGCTTTAATGATGCTAATGTAACCATTTTCCGGACACCATTAGATTTTCAGTGAGTCACCTGCTTATTATTTCACACCTGCAATTATTGATTCTATGTATTACTGTTTACTTCTTATATTTTCATCTTAGAAAATAATTTTATCTCCTTTAAGAAATATTTTTCTTCCATATTTGTGATAATCAGTTTAATGTCAGAGGACATGTTTTTATTGTTATCAAATTAGTCTGAACTCTTGCCCTTAAATTGTTTCTCCTCTGTTGGTAGATAAATCATTCATCATGTGAAAACGTTTTAGCTATTATTTCTCTTGCTATTGGGGGAGTAACTGAAGGTAAGTATGGTTTTGTTCTGTTTTTTTAAAGTAATCTTGGACATGACATGCTTTATTTAAAACTTCTCCCCATATCTCTACACCTGTCTGATTATATTTATTCTTCAAATTCTGCCTGACTCCCACCTTTGTCAAGTTGTCCCAATCAAATTAGTTCACACTTTTTCTCATCTCTGCTATTCAGTGCACATTTGGGCACTTTCTCTGTTCTCCATTGTTTTGTTCATTCAGTAAGTATTTATTGAGCATCTACTATGTGCCTGGCACTGAACTAGGACTAGGAGATGCAATGGTGAATAAATCATATTTCCCACCCACAAGGAGCTAATAGAGGAAACAGATGTATGCATGTCTTACTGTGGCGTAAGTACTATGGTTAAAGTGGGAATGAAGTGTGGTTGGAGAGAATAGAGTAAAAGTGACTTTCTAAACTTGACTCTGAAGGAATCAGGAAAGGTTTTTAAAAAGAGGCTATACATGAGAGCCACAACGTGAGGTATGAAGAATTTGTCAGACAGAAACTGAGAAGGAAATAGCTATACAAAGGCTAAGTTCAGCATGGCTAGAAAACTGTGGAGCAGGAGAAGGAGAGAATAATGAGAATGAGAATGGTTAGGAAAGAAGCAGGGAGAGTCATTTGTAAAGGGCTTCGTATGCCATGCTAAAGAGCAGCTATGTAAGAATAATTGCAAAGGGAGAAACTACTGGCAGAAAAACTAGGCAAGGGCTTGTTAAAATAGGGCAGTGGCAGTATGGGATAGTTTTAAGAGACTTTAAACAGGGCACATAGTAAGTACAGAGTGTCTAACATAGTAGGAGCTCCCTAAATATTTGCAGAAGGAAGAAATGAAAATATAGTTCATCAGTATTCTTTAACCAATTTGGTTAAAATGCTCATTTGATTAATTCAGATAATATATGTGAAAATTGCATTTTAATCTGTAAAGCACTATTCATATAATGGACTATATTAATATTTACTTCTACAGAAATTGGAATAACAAGGTAAAAGTGATCTCCCAGTATAGCAGCAAGCTATTTTGTGAACTTAAGTTCATAAATTCTGACTTTACATGTTAAAATTTTATGTGAGCTGCCTAATCATTCATTCATTTATGCATTAGGCATACTTAAATGAGTTGCACAATACAGTGTTCCTTGCCCAGTTCCTGTCAGACAGTTTGCAATGTGTGCTTAGTTCATTGATTAACTTGTTATATTACTCTTGTAAGGATGTTTTTAACATGCGAAGTCATACAGAATATATATGTAAAATATTTAATTGAGAAAGGAGTACTTATGAACTTAAACTATAAATAAAGACTTAAATGCATTTTTATTTTAGTTTTAGGGGATACATTTCTTCTTGTAAGAGATATTATCATTTATTTGTGTGGCATGTTTTCAAATTTTCCATAAAAATGTTTTGTTAAATTCAACTCGGCAAATAATTTATTGAGCTTCTATTCAATGTCAGACACTTTACTGGTTAAAACATACAAAAATGCCTACACTTAAAAATAATTCTACATTACAAAGATAATTAGGATATGCCAAATGCTTTAGTAGATTAAAGTACAGTGTGCTTCAGAAACATAGATGAGGTAGCCTACTCAAAGATACCAGAGAGTTTTTTAGATGAGCTGAAATTTACTCCATGCTTTGAAAGATATGATAAAGAAGAGGAAGACTATTTAGGCAGAAAAAACATTGTAAATGAAACCACAGAAGGATGAACATAACACGGTGTTGGGGAACTGAGGAGGAGTATCTGTGGCGAAGATTAAGGTGAGCAGAGAGATGGTGCAGAAGCTGGGACACCGGTTTTGAAAGTTCTGAGGAATCATGCTATAACCCAGTGGTTCCCACACCTGCCAGCTTATCAGAACCACTAGTGAATTTCTATTTTTAAATGAGATTCCAGGCCCTCACTTAGTTCTGCTGACTCAGAATCTTTGGCAATATAATCTAGATAATTTTTTTTAAGTTCTATAATTACTAAATGTGAATTCACTTACGCCAGACTGTACTGCAGCTAAGGGCAGGGAGTGTGCCCCTCAAATCTCTCGGATGTATAGGCTATATAATATGACAAAATCTAAATGTTGTTAGAGACTTTCAAGGTCATCTAGTCCAATCTTATCTCTGGCTTAGCCTGCCTACATCCCTGATGTGAGGTCTTCCAGCTTCTGTTGGATCACGCACATTGATGGAGCTCACCATTTGGGTCCTGTTAGTTCTGATTATCAGAAGGTTTCCCTTGTATTGAGTTGGAATCTACTGCTTCATTTCATGCACTGATTCTTAGGCAGTATCCCTCGCAGTGCATTTCAGATATGATCTTACTGATGCAGAGTAGACCTGGATATATTTACTTCCTTTTTCTGGGAATACTGTATTAGTGGAGTGTTTTGGGCTTATAGTGTCCCTAGATTTTTTTCCACCACATATCATGCCTAAGTGGCTACTTAAACACTGTTGAGTGTTAGTTAGTACTCACCACTTTAAAATAGAAGGAAGAATGAGTAGGGATAGAAAAGTATTTCTCGGGCCGGGCGCTGTGGCTCACGCCTGTAATCCTAGCTCTTGGGAGGCCGAGGCGGGCGGATTGCTCAAGGTCAGGAGTTCAAAACCAGCCTGAGCAAGAGCGAGACCCCCGTCTCTACTATAAATAGAAAGAAATTAATTGGCCAACTGATATATATATAAAAAAAAAATTAGCCGGGCATGGTGGCGCATGCCTGTAGTCCCAGCTACTCGGGAGGCTGAGGCAGGAGGATCGCTTGAGCCCAGGAGTTTGAGGTTGCTGTGAGCTAGGCTGACGCCACGGCACTCACTCTAGCCTGGACAACAAAGTGAGACTCTGTCTCAAAAAAAAAAAAAAAAAAAAGAAAAGTATTTCTCGCTAATATAAATGACCACTTCTCAAGAAAAATTTTTGTTGTTGTTCTCTAAATAACATTGACTTTGGAGATAGATAGTAACTTCTACTTACCATTCTTTCCCCTGAAACAGTACTGTTATTTTAAATGTTAAATCATAGTTGAAGTCAGTGTTAAATCTTTTTGCTATCTTTTTTGAAGATAATCTTTTCAAATCACAAAGACAATTTAGCAACATTACAAAGCATTTGAAACAAATAAGGAAAATACTAGTCATAATTCCTCTACTTTTAAAAACTACCATTCATTTTGGTATAATGATTTTGGTTTCAAGTCTTTTTTAAAATTTTTATTGTTGTAACCATAATATACATACAGTTTTGAATTCTTCCTTTTTCACTTAACATTATATCATAAGCATTTTTCCAAGTTATTATAGTCATCATAACCATCATTTTTAATTGGCTGCATTATATTCTTTTGACTAGCTTAGTGGTGAAGAAAACAGACTGTGGAGCCAGACTGCCTGGGTTCGTATCCCAGCTCTACCACTTACTGGCTCTATTATCTTGGGCAAGTTATTTAACCTCTCTGTGTCTCAGTTTTCTCATTCTATAAAATGAAGATAATGATGTGATCTACCTCATAGGGTTATAAGGATTAAATGTGTTCCTATATGTAAAGCACTTAGTGTGCCTGACATATAGTAAATGCTCTAGATCTGCAGTCTCCAATCCCCGGTCCCCGGGCTGGTACTGGTCTGTGGCCCGTTAAGGAACCAGGAGGTGAGCAGAGGGCAAGCCAGCAAAGCTTCATCGGTATTTACAGCCACTCCCCATTGCTCACCATTCTCCTGCCCCTACTCCACCCTACCCTATCCCTTTCCGTGGAAAAATTATCTTCCTTGAAACCAGTCCCTGGTGCCAAAAAGGTTGGGGACTGCTGCTCTAGATGCTGTCAAGAATTATTATATCATCATTACTTAGTACAAATATCAAAAATTAAGTATGTCCTGTTTGGGGACTTTCAGGTTGCTTCCATTTCTTGTCCTTTTAAAGCCTTGTTTTGCGTGACAAAGTATACTTTTTAAGATATTCTTCAGAATTATTTTTCAAAGACAATCTTACTCTACGGTTGTTTAAACTTTTAAATTGGTTTGTGCTCCACTTGAAGGTATTTGTACCGCATCTACACCTTTTGTGTTGTTGGGAGATGTTTTGGATTGTCTTCCTTTGGATCAATGTGACACAATATTCACTTTTGTGGAAAAAAATGTTGCTACTTGGAAATCAGTAAGTGCCTCAGTTTCTTTTCCTGCTAATGTTATCTTTCTATAGATACAAGTTCTGAGGGTAGATTTTTTTTTTTGCTTGTTTTTCTAATATTGTTGATTGCAAAAAGTTTGTTTCTATGAAAGAACTATATATTGTACTCTCTTGGGAACTATGTAGAGAAAAACTTGAAGTCCAAAATTTGTTGAGTAGTAAATATTAACTTGAAAATTAATACTTTCACATGTTTAAAATAGTTACTTAGCATTGTTTTCTTATATATCTGAAAATATTTTATTTCATTGAAAATGTTATTTGCTTTAAAAAGTGAAAGTGGCATAGTAGATTGTCAGTGCATGTTAATGTTTTTTTTTTTTTTTTTGAGACAGAGTCTCGCTTTGTTGTTCAGGCTAGAGTGAGTGCCGTGGCGTCAGCCTAGCTCACAGCAACCTCAAACTCCTGGGCTCCAGCGATCCTTCTGCCTCAGCCTCCCGAGTAGCTGGGACTAAGGCATGCGCCACCATGCCCGGCTAATTTTTTATATATATATCAGTTGGCCAATTAATTTCTTTCTATTATAGTAGAGATGGGGTCTCGCTCTTGCTCAGGCTGGTTTTGAACTCCTGACCATGAGTGATCCTCCTGTCCTCGGCCTCCCAAGAGCTAGGATTACAGGCGTGAGCCACCGCGCCCGGCCTAATGTTTTTTTTTAACATTTTATTTCCTGTGACTTATTATTGAAGAGTGTGGGAACAACTTCTGAAGAATAATAATAATTTCTGTCTTAATTTCAGAATACCTTCTATTCTGCCGGGAAAAATTATTTACTACGTATGTGCAATGGTAAGTAATTCAATGATAAATAATTTTTTTAAAAATGTTTATATGGCCAGAGGCTGCATGCAATGGGTCACACCTGTAATCTGAGCACTCTGAGAGGCTGAGGTGGGAGGATCACTTCAGGTCAGGAGTTTGAGAACTGCCTGAGCAAGAGTAAGATTCCACCTCTCCCAAAGTAGAAAAAATTAGCTGGGTGTGGTGGTGTGTGCCTGTAGTCCCAGCTACTTAGGAGGCTGAGACAGGAGGGTTATTTGAGCCCAGGAGTTTTAGGTTGCAGTGAGCTATGATCATGCCACCGCACTACTGCACTCTAGCTAGAGCAACAGAGTGACACTCTTGTTTCAAAAAAAAAAAAAAAGTATATATGGCCAGAAAAACAAGTGATTGAATTAAATCCCAATGATAACATTTTAAAGGTAGATAAATATCTTCTTTTTTTCTTTTTTTTGAGGGGGGCATATATATGGTCTCGCTCTGTTGACCAGGCTAGAGTGCAGTGGCCATCATAGCTCATTATAACTTCAAACTCCTGAGTTCAAATGATTCTCCTGCCTTAGCTTCTTGAGTAGCTGGGACTATAGCTGCAAGCCACCAGGCCCAGCTGATTTTTAAATTTTTTGTAGAGACAGGGTCTCACTGTGTTGCCCAGGCTGGTCTTGAACTCCTGGCCCCAAGTGATCCTCCTGCCTCAGCCTCCCAAAGTGCTAGGATTACAGGCATGAGCCCCTACACTCGGCTGAGTATCTTAATTTTTAATTAATAGTCTGGTTTATTAAAATAGATCATTTACGGCCGGGCGCTGTGGCTCACGCCTGTAATCCTAGCTCTTGGGAGGCCGAGGCGGGCGGATTGCTCGAGGTCAGGAGTTCAAAACCAGCCTGAGCAAGAGCGAGACCCCATCTCTACTATAAATAGAAAGAAATTAATTGGCCAACTGATATATATATAAAAAATTAGCCGGGCATGGTGGCGCATGCCTGTAGTCCCAGCTACTCGGGAGGCTGAGGCAGAAGGATCACTCAAGCCCAGGAGTTTGAGGTTGCTGTGAGCTAGGCTGACGCCACGGCACTCACTCTAGCCTGGACAACAAAGCGAGACTCTGTCTCAAAAAAAAAAAAAAAAAAAAAACAAACAAGATGAAAATAAAAAAAAATTTAGTAAAATTTATCTTGTTCCTGCTGAGCTTGTTTTCTTAATTTATAGTACTTTTTTGTGGCAATGGTTTCTACCCCCTTTTTGAAGACTGCTCTTTAGGAAAATACTCTTGACAAACTGATTAAAATATGGTATGGTTGTAATGAACATAGAATGATCTTTTCTGTGTAACATTCATTTCCATATGTTGTTAGATCTCTTAAGAAGATTATCTAAATCCCAGAATACAGTCTTCTGTGGGCGAATTCAACTCTTTTTGGCTAGGCTTTTCCCTCTATCCGAGAAATCAGGTAAGCTTTTATACATTAAATAAATTCTCTGTGGGAAAATCTTTTTCAGATTTTAATGGCTTAAAGTCTGTCATAATGATAATGAGAAAAATAGTTCTAAAAAGTTGAAAGATATAGAAAATGGTCACTTTATTATCTTTTGATTGTAAATAGTTATACCAGTCGTATAATACATGTAATCCTGAAAGAAAGCCATTGATTATTTAAGTTCAAAGCTTGTTAATAATAATATGCAGTTGAGTCATACTGAAATATGTAGATCATGTCTATATTTCATTTTATAACGTATGCTTATTTTTGTTTCACTTTCCCTCAGTTATTACTGTTTAGCCATATTTACTTTCTTATTTTTTACAAATTTTTATTATAAAATAACACTCATGTAGAAAAGTGCATAAAACAAATATTTAGTATAATTATGAAGCAAACACTTGCATAACCACTGTCCAGCTCCAGAAGTGGAACATTGCCAGTTCTTCAGAGCTTTCCCCCTCCCCAGTCTGTTCAGATAAGCCAAATTTTAATATCTCTTTGCTTTAATTTTTCCTTCCTTAATATCAGGCTGCTATACCACCTACTTTATATATTGTGGATTAAATGAATTAAAATACATGAAGAACTTATAATAGTGCCTGCATGTAATAAGACCTATAGTATGTATTACCAGTGGTTTTTATGTGCTTTCTTTTGTCATTCTGTTGCTTTTTTCTTTCCTACCTATTTTATGTGTTCAGGGTTAATGTAGATTTATCACTTAATCACTTGCTGTATTTCTGACTTCCCATCTGTGATCATTTTCCCTGTTAGACTTTTGTTTGATGCAGGTATGTTTTGCCTGAAAATTTTTACTTATCCTTTATCCTTAGAGAATGGTTTCAGTAGATAGAAAATTCTAGATTGGCACTAGATAAAGGATTTCATTTAATGGAAAATAATCTCTACTTTGTCTTCTGTCTTCTATTATTTTATAGACAAGTCCCATTTCAGTCTCACATTTTAAAGATAATCTAGATTTTTTTTTTCTCTGCTCTTGAGATGTTTTTTCCTTTGATTTTCCTCAGTTTTACTATGGTATATCTAAGCATGAATTTCTTTTTATTTATCCTTCTTGGGATTGAGGGCATTTTGAATGTATGGATTAGTGGCTTTCATTCAGTTTGTAAAAATCTTAGCTATTATCTCTTCTAATATTGTGTATGCCTCTTTTTCTGGAACTTCAATTAAACATCCATTATACCTTCTCACTGTATCCTCTGTTTCTTACTCTTTATATATTTCTCATCTGTCTTCCTCCATCATATTCTAAATAATTTCTTAAGAATTGTTTTCTAGGCCGGGCGCGGTGGCTCAAGCCTGTAATCCTAGCACTCTGGAAGGCCGAGGTGGGCGGATTGCTCAAGGTCAGGAGTTCAAAACCAGCCTGAGCAAGAGCAAGACCCCGTCTCTACTATAAATAGAAAGAAATTAATTGGCCAACTAATATATATATATAAAATTAGCCGGGCGTGGTGGCGCATGCCTGTAGTCCCAGCTACTCGGGAGGCTGAGGCAGCAGGATTGCTTGAGCCCAGGAGTGTGAGGTTGCTGTGAGCTAGGCTGACGCCACGGCACTCACTCTAGCCTGTGCAACAAAGCGAGACTCTGTCTCAAAAAAAAAAAAAAAAAATTGTTTTCTAGTTCATTACTTCTCTCCTCAGCTGTGAATAATCTACTAAATGAATTCTTAATTTCATTTATTATATTTTTCTTTGTATTAAATTGTACTTTTAACTTCCAGAAGGTCTTTTTTAAGTCTGCTATGTCACTTTTTAATTTCTTATTTCCAACTGATATTTGCAAGCTCGTTTTTTAGGTTTTTAAACTTCGTGAGCATTGTTATTTTATTATCTCTGATAATTCCAGTACCTTAAGCCTTTGTTGTATCTGTTTCTACTGTCTGTTTTGACTGTTTTCTTAACTCATGGTGTCTTATGTCTTTGTGTGTCGAGTTATCATTGGATGTTATATCTGAGGAGATACTGGAGATAATAATTTTGAGGCCTACATTAGATATCTTTCTCCAGATAGGATTTTCATTGCTTCTGCCATGTACCTTTCAGTGGAGTCTACTACCAGTCCAGGATTACCTTAATCCAGTACAGTTTAAGGCCTGTGATTCCCTAGATCATCCAGAACACTTGGTACTAGGCTATAGTTTGGTTCCTTCCACCTGACAGTGTAGCCCAACAATTGCCCAGCTTTGAAGATGGTTGGTGGTGGGATTTATCAATTTATTACATTCCTCACTTTCCTTGGGCCCAGAGATTTACTTTTATCATCTTACCTCCAGGAAGCTACTAAAGGAGTGGTTCACTTTTGGAACTGATTCCTTCTGTTTGGCTGATGTCCTCTAGGCAAGAGTGGCTTTGTGTGCTGATCACGCATTGCTAATCTTTTTTGCCTTCTGGATTTTTACCAGATAGTTCTCACCATTTTGTCAGCTCTTTACTGGTTTTTTTGTTTGTTTGTTTTTGGGTTTTTTTTTCCCCGAGATAGAGTCTTGCTCTGCTGCCTGGGCTAGAGTGCCGTGGAGTCAGCCTAGCTCACAGCAACCTCATGCTCCTGGGCTTAAGCGATCCTCCTGCCTCAGTCTCTCCAGTAGCTGGGACGACAGGCATGCACCACCATGCCTGGCTAATTTTTTCTATATATTTTTAGTTGGCCAATTAATTTGTTTCTCTTTTTCGTAGAGACAGGGTCTCACTCTTGCTCAGGCTGGTTTCGAACTCCTGACCTTGATTGATCCGCCCGCCTCAGCCTTCCAGAGTGCTAGGATTACAGCCGTGAGCCACCACGCCCGGCCTCTTTACTGTTTTTAAGAAAATCATTTTCCTGTTTCATTGTCTACAATAGTGCTATGAACTTGGTGTATGCTCTATAAATATTTATAGAATTATTGTAATGTATCCAAGTTTTTAGTTGTCTTTAGTGGGAGGGTTAATCTGAATAATTTAGCCTTCCATTACTGGAAAGCTAACCTTTTTTAAATTAATTTTTTAACAACTTTATTGAAATGTAAATTTGCATATACAACTCACCAATTTGAAGTGTACAGTTTATTGTTTTTTAATTCACTTGGTTGTGCAATCATCACCACAGTGTAATTTTAGAACATTTTTTCCTCTAAAAGAAACCCCATGGCCATTAGCTGTCATTCCCCATTTACCTCAATCCTTACCCAAGTCCTAAGTAACCACTAATCTACTTTTAGGTCTCCATAGATCTTCCTATTCTGGGCGTTTAATATAAATGGAGTAATACAATATGTGGTCTTTGTGACTAACTTCCTTCACCTAGCATAAATGTTTTCAAGGTTCATTTATATTGTAACCTATATCAGAATTACATTCCTTTTTATGGCCAAATAATATTCCACTATGGAAATAATACCACATTTTTTTTGTCTGTTCATCAGTTGATGGACACTTGGATTGTTTTCATTTTTCGACCATTAATGCTGCTATGAACAATTGTATACAAGTTTTTGTGTGGACATATGTTTTCAGTTCTCTTGGGCATTTGTTTAGAGTAGAATTGCTAGGTTATATGGTAACTCTAAGTCTTCATTTCTCTTGGGTATATATATATATCTAAGAGTAGAATTGTGGGGTCATATAATAATTCCCTGTTTAAATTTTTGAGGAACTGTCAAACTGTTTTCTGAAGAGCCAGTACCATTTCATAATCCCATCAGTAATGCATGTGGATTTCAATTTCTCTATATCCTTGATGATGCTGATATTATCTGTCTTTTTTATTTTCGTTATCTTAGTGGGTATAGAGTGATTTTGATTTTCATTTCCCTAATGACTAATGATGTTGAGCATCTTTTCATGTGCTTATTGGCCATTAGTATGTCTGTCTTGGAAAAATTGTCTATTCACATCCTTTGCCCACTTGGAAAATTAGGTTATTGTTGAGTTTGTAAATATTCTTTATATATTCTGGATATTAGACCTTTATTAGATAAGTAATTTGCAGATATTTTCTTCTGTGGACTGTCTTTTCATTTTCTTGATGGTATCATTTATAGTACAAAAGTTTTAAATTTATCTTTTTTTTTTTTCCGGCTTGTGCTTTTGGTTTCTTAACTAAAAAAAAGTTACTTAATTCAAGGTCACAAAGATTTACTCCTATGTTTTCTTCTAAGAGTTTTAGTTCTTACAATTAGGTCTGTGATCCATTTTGAATTAATTTTTTTTTTTTGAGACAGGATCTCACTATGTTGCCCAGGCTGGAGTACAGCGACTATTTACAGGTAACGATCAAAGTGCACTGTAGCCTCAAACTCTTGGCCTCAAGCAACCTCCTGCCTCAGTCTCCTGAGTAGCTAAGACTACAGGTGCACACTACTGCGCCCAGCATTTTGAGTTAATTTTTGTATATGGTATGAGGTAGGGATTCAGTTGTTTTTTTTTTTCATGTAGATAAGAAGTTGTCCAAGCACCATTTGTTGAAAAATTATTCTTTCCCCCACTGAGTTGGCATCCTACCTCCTTTATTTATACCTTCAAAATATCAAGATTATTGCCACGTTAGAGCCTTGGCACTAACTCTTTCCTCTGTCTGTAAACCTTTTGTTCATTATTATCACATTACTCACTTTTGCTGATGCTCAGTCTCAGTTTAAATTTCCCTTCCTCCGAGAGACTCTCTTTGAATACTTAATCTAAACCCATTATTACCACACGATTTCAAATCTCTTTTTAGCATTTAACACGATGTGGTTTTTTCAGTGTGTTTTTGTTGTTCACTTCTGTATTCTCTGTGTCTAGAACAGTGCCAGGCACCTACTCACCATTTAAATATGTGGTGAGCAGAGGCTGGATGTGGTGACTCATGCCTGTAATCCTAGCACTTTGGGAGGCCAAGACAGGAGGATTACTTGAAGCCAGGAGTTTGAGATCATCCTGAGTAAGAGCAAGACCCAGTTTCTACAAGTAGAAATGGTGATAAATGTCTGTGGTCTCAGCTACTCAGGAGGCTGAGGCAGGAGGATCACTTTAGCCCAGGACTTTGAGGTTACAGTGAGCTGCAGTGACACCACTGCACTCTATCTGGGGTGACAGAGTGAGACCCTGTCTCAAAAAAAAATGTGAATAGATAGAAATGTGAAATGAAATGACATATGTCCCTTATAGGCATTAACTTGTAATTTCTTTCTCTGGAAGTTACAGAAGACATAAGAACAAGGTTGTAATTCCAAGGCATTCTTTTATCCTTCCTGGTTGCCACCAGGCCCAACCCTTATTATTTTGTTGAAACATTTTAGACCTCTTTTTCATTATAGTACATTCTTAGATTGGCAAGACATATAGAAAATACTTTTTTCTTTCATTCACTAGTTGAAAAACTAACAATATATCATTAAAGGTATCTTAGACCATATATATTTTAATAAGTTATACTTTGTACTTTAATTTTTAAATTGTAGGGGCCAGGCATGGTTGCTCATACCAGTAATCTTAGTACTTTGGGAGGTCAAGGTGGGAGGATAACTTGAGGCTAGGAGTTTGAGACCAGCTTAGGCAACATAGCGAGACCTGTCTCTACAAAAAATTAAAAGATCAGCTGAGCATGATGGTGCATACCTATAGTCCCAGCTACTTGGGAGTCTGAGGCAGGAGGATCACTTTAGCCCAGGAATTTGAGGCCACAGTGAGCTATGATGATGCCACTGCTCTCTAGCTTGGGCAACAGAGCAAGACCCTGTCTCAAAAAATAAATACAAAGGAATACAGCCTTATTTCAGGAAATTTGGAAATGAAGAAAAAGAAACTTCATAATCCTACCACCCTAACACAAACTAGGTTGGCATTTTGGGGTAGTTTCTTATAGTAATTTTTCCCTTTTTTCCCCTTAACATTTAGTAGATCCTTAACATTTACTAGGGTATGTCCCAAGACCAAGACCCTCAGAAAGCTATTTTAGCTATATTTAGACCCTCCATGTAGTTTCCCCATGGAATGTAGTACACTATGGCTGAAAGTTTTAACTCTAAATGAGAATTACAGCATGTCCTATAGTGAATAATAGAGAACAGACAGTAGTATTTTAAGTAGTCAATGATGAATGGTCAGCCAGGCTCATACACTAGCTTAATGTTTTGATCTAGCATCTATGCTTTTTTTATTTTTAAGTTTTTGCTTTGAAATAATTTTAGCATATAGTCCGTGGTGATAAAAAAAAAACTCACATTGTTGTGCAACCATCACACCCTCCATCTCCAGATATTTTCATCATGCAAACCCCCAAATCTGTACTCATTATATAATACCTCCATAACCCCCTCTCCCCACTTTTCCAAAGAGCCTAGTTTCTTTTATTTAAGAATGGTAGTTAGAGCCAAGATCTTGGCCCTAAATGTGCTCTATGCCATTGGAGTATGACTGCTTCTAGACTCTCTCAGTAGACAGCAAAAAAAGATATATATGTATACTAACCATACACATCTATATTTATTTCAGTGTCATATTTTTTTTTAATAAATAGCAACAAAAATCTTGAGCTCATACTGATTTCTCTGAGTCGAATCCAGTACCAATACACCTGCTTATTTTTAACTTATTTCTCTGACACTAAGATACTTGGCTCTCATTAACCATAATATATTTATTTATTATATACCCTTTTTAATTAATTTACATTTGTGCTTCATCAAAATCATAAATTACTCTCTATTGCATTCTATGGAATTGTTCTTGAATATCATGAATAACAAGGATCAATTCTATTTGTTACCATAATGTATATAGAATTTTGTGTAAGGGCCATACCTCAGAGATGTTGTGAGTTTGGTTCTAGACCACTGCAATAAAGCGAATATCGCAATAAAGCAAATCACACAAATTTTTTGGTTTCCCAGTGTGTATAAAAGTTACATTTATGGTATACTGTAGTCTACTAAGTATGTAATAGCAGTTTGTGTAAAAAGTAATGTACATACCTTAATTAAAACATACTTTATTGCTAAAAAAGCTAATGATCATCTGAACCTTTATCAAGTCATCAGTTTTTTGCTGGTCTTGCCTCAGTGTTGATGGCTGCTGACTGATTAGGATGGTGGTTGCTGAAGGTAGGAATGGCTCTGGCAGTTTCTTAAAATAAGACAGCAATGAGGTTTGCCACATCAATTAACTCTTCTGTTCACAAAAGATTTCTCTATAGCACATGATGCTGTTTGATGGTATTTACCTACAGTAGAATTTCAGGATTGAGGTTAGTCCTCTCAAAGCCTGTCACTCCTTTGTCAACCAAATTTATATAATATTCTAAATCTTTTGTTGTCTTTTTAACAACATTCATAGCATCTTCACCAGAAGAAGAGTCCATCTCAAGAAACCACTTTGCTCATCCATAAGAAGCAACTCCTCACCCTTTCAAGTTTGATCATGAAACTGCAGCAATTCATTCACATCTTCAGGCTCCACTTCTAATTCTAGTTCTCTTTCTGTTTCTACCATATCTGCAGTTACTTCCTCTATTAAAGTCTTAAATCTTTTAAAGTCACCCATAATGGTTAGAATCAACTTCTTTCAAATTCCTGTTAATGTTCACCTCCCATGAATATTCTTAATGGCATTTAGAATAATAAATCCTTTCCAGAAGATTTTCAATTGACTTTGCCTAGATCCATCAGAGGAATCACTACCTATGGCAGCTATAACCTTACAAAATGTATTTGTTAAATAATAAGACTTGAAAGTTGAAATCACTCCTTGATCCATGAGCTGCAGAATGGATGTTGTATTAACGGGCATGAAAACAGCATGTATATCTCCATCAGAGCTCTTGAGTGACCAGATGCATTGTCAATGGGCAGTAATATTTTGAAAGAAATCTTTTTTTCTGAACGGGTCTCAACAGTGGGCTTAAAATATTCAGTAAAACATGCTGTAAACAGATATGATATCATTCTAGGCTCTCTTGTTCCATTTTTAGAACACAGGCAGAGTAGACTTAGCATAATTCATAAGGGCCCTAGGATTTTCAGAATGGTAAATGAGCATTGGCTTCACCTTAAAGTCACCTGCTAAATTAGCTCCTAACAAGAGAGTCAGCCTGTCATTTGAAGCCAAGCACTGACTTCTCTCTAACTATGAAAGTCCTAGGTGGCATCTTTCAATAGAAGGCTATTTGATCTACATTGAAAATCTACTGTTTAATGTAGCCATCTTTATTAATAATCTTAGCTAGATCTTTTGGCTAACTTGTTGCACCTTCTGCATCAACACTTGCTACTTTACCTTGTACTTTTATGTCATGGAGCTGACTTCTTAAACTTCACGAACCAACCTCTGCTAGCTTCCAACTTTTCTCCTACAGCTTCCTCACCTCTCTCAGCCTTAATAGAATTGAAGAGAGTTAGGGCCTTGCTTTGGATTAGGCTTTGACATAGGAAATGTGTGGCTGGTTTGATCTCCTATCCAGACCGCTTAAACTTTCTTCATATTAGCAGTAAGGCTGTTGTGCTTTCTTGTCGTTAGTGTGTTCACTGGAGTAGCTCTTTTCATTTCCTTCAAGAACTTTTTGTTTGCATTTAGAACTTGGTGGTTTGGCACAGGAGGCCTGTCTTTCAGTCTATCTTGGTTTTCAATGTGCTTTCCCACTAAGCTTAATTATTTCTAGCATTTGATTTAAAATGAGAGACTTGCAACTCTTCCTTTCACTTGAACTCTTAGAGGGCATTGTAGGGTTATTAACTAGCTTAAGTTTGCTATTTTAGATGGGTGTGGTTCGTGGTGCCCCAAAACAATTATAATAGTAACATCAAAGATCACCTATCACCATAACAGATATAATAACAGAAGAGTTTGAGATAGTGTGAAAATTACCAAATTGTGACAGAGAGACACAAATTGAGTATATGCTGTTAAAAAAAATGGTGTGATAGACTTGCTTGACATGGAGTTGCCACAAACCTCCAATTTGTAAAAAATGCAGTCTCTGTGAAGCACAATAAAACAAGGTGTGCCTGTACCCTGAAGGCATTTTTAAGAAGTGAATTTTTGAAAGGATTTAAAACTCAAATATGGGTATTAATCTGACTGATCTTTTTAATTATGAATTTAGCATTTTATATATTTGGTTATAACATGAAGTTATTTATTCATATACAAGTTTAAGTGTCAGTGAATCTACTTTGAAAATCTTTTTTTTTTTATAGGTCTTAACTTGCAGAGTCAGTTTAATCTGGAAAATGTCACTGTTTTCAATACCAATGAGCAGGAAAGCACCCTGGGTCAAAAGGTGAGGCTGATATGAAATCTTCTCACAGGACATATAAGTTTGTTGTTGAGATAACTCATTTGAATGGGCCTCTCAGTCACAGAGTCTGTCAGTCACCAAACATTTGAACACTTTATTTCCAGTTTATAGAAATAATATCTATTGTGTGTAAAAAATTGAAACAATGTTTAAAATAGAAAGTACAGCTACTCTGTAATCCAAGGGAGATTATGGTAGTATGTGGAGTAGCTGTAGTTTCTGTTAAAGTGGATAAATAAGGTATGTATACTTTATATTTTAATAATAGTAATCATAAAGTGGATTATAGAGTAGCTCTATATTCTCTTTTAAATACATTTGAATTTTTTACACAGAATACATATCACTTCTATAAATAAATGTTATTTCTATAACCAGTCATAACATTCTTTGTTTAACCATACCAGGACTTTTTGCATGTATATATAAACATATGTTGTTTTTTTCCAAAATTAGGTCATACAATACATAGTGTTCTGAAATTCACTTTCTTTCTTCTTTTAACTGATATATTTCTGCATTGGTACATTTAGATTTGTCTTAGTTATTTAATGGCTCTTGATAACTCTTTGAGTTTATACATCACAGCCCCTGTCAGTGGACATTTAGGTAGTCTGTAATAGTGAAAAGTTGTTAACAGTATTACAGTGAATAGTATTATATCACTGCTAAATTATGCAGGTGTATCCTTAGGATAAATTCTGATAAGTAAAATTGTTGGGTCAAAATATATGTATATTTCAAATTTCGATAGCTGTTGCCTAGTTACTTCTCAAAAAGGTTATACCCATTTATACTGCCACCACTGGCACGTGGAGAAAGCCTGCCCATCTTCCCATGGCCTCACACCAACGTTGGGAATTATCAATTTTTTTGCATCTTTGCTTAATTAATATATATACTTGAAAAATGGGTCATCTTTGTCTTAATTTACATTTCCTTGATTATTATTGGAGCTGAGGAACTTAATGTATATTGATTGGAATATATTTTTTTTCTGTGACTTGTCTATTCATGCCATTTGTCAATTTTACTATTGAATTGTCTTTATGATCGTATGTATTTCCAAAACATTTAGCCATAGCCCCTTCATTCCCAGAGAGAATCTACTAACTATATTTTGAGAAATACTGGTTTAAAACTTTCCACTGTCTTCATGACTATGTTATGTCATTGTCATAGTACTCTTGATGTCTTTGAACCCTGTCATTTAGAATTCCAGTTGCAGTAAAGTTTAACTATAGGTCTAGATAGTTAACTGTGACTAGAGTTGTCTAATAATGGTTGTCTAGGATTGTGTAAATGATCTATTATTTTAGCATTTATCTTCTGCGTGATGACTGCTTCATGAAAATCTGTACTTTTTTTTCAATTTAGCACACTGAGGATAGAGAAGAAGGAATGGATGTAGAAGAAGGGGAAATGGGAGATGATGAAGCTCCAACAACTTGGTGAGTTTTCAGAGCTTATGTTTTCTTGATTTACAAAGATAATCCCTTAATTCCCTATCAGATATTCTCTCTGGAGTGTGGATATGGATATGGACAAGGACGAAAGAAATCATTCTTTCATATTATACCTTTCTTTCTTTCTTTTTTTTTTTTTTTTGGAGATAGGGTCTTGCTGTGTCTCTCAGGCTGGAGTGCCATGGCAATCATGGTTCACTATAACCTTGAACTCCTGAGCTCAAGTGTTCCTCCTGCCTCAGCCTCTCAAGTAGCATGCACTAGCATGCCCAGCTAATTTTTTAATTTTTTGTAGCAATAGGATTTTGCTATGTTGTGTGGACTGGTCTCAAATTCCCAGTCACAAGCAGTCCTCTCACTTTGGCCTCCCAAAGTGTTGGGATTATAGGCATGAGCCACCAAGCCCAGTCCCCTCCTTGCTCTTAATACTATTTCTTATCTTATCCTCTATAGCTCTGTGCTTTCTTTCCAAATACAGTAAGTCTTCACTTAACATTGTCTATAGGTTCTTGGAAACTGCAACTTTAAGTGAAACAACATATGACAAAACCGGTTTTACCATAGACTAATTGATAGAAACAGGAGTTAAGTTCCTAGAGCCTATTTCTGGTTGCAAAAACATCAACAAACATCTAAATAAAGACCAAAACATTTATAATATTAAACATTGAAATAAATTTGAGTTATATATACATTTAGGAAAGATTAATAATAACATGGCTGGGCACAGTGGCTCATGCCTATGATTCCATCACTTTGGGAGGCCAAGGCGGAGGATCACTTGAGGCCAGTTCTTGACCAGCCTGGGCATTGTAGTGAAACCCCATCTCTACAAAAAAAAATTTTTTTTTGAGACAGAGCTCGCTTTGTTGCCCAGGCTAGAGTGAGTGCCGTGGCTTCAGCCTAGCTCACAGCAACCTCAAACTCCTGGGCTCAAGCAATCCTCCTGCCTCAGCCTCCCGAGTAGCTGGGACTACAGGCATGCGCCACCATGCCCGGCTAATTTTTTCTATATATATTAGTTGGCCAATTAATTTGTTTCTATTTATAGTAGAGACGGGTCTCGCTCTTGCTCAGGGTAGTTTCGAACTCCTGACCTTGAGCAATCCACCCGCCTCGGCCTCCCAGAGTGCTAGGATTACAGGCGTGAGCCACCGTGCCCGGCCATCTACAAAAAAATTTTAAAAAATTAACCAGGTGTGGTGGCATGCGCCTATAGTCCTAGCTACTCAGGAGGCTGAGGTGCGAGGATCATTTGAGCCTAGGAGTTTGGGGTTACAATGAGCTTTGTTTGCACCACTGCACTCCACCCTGGCTGACATAGTGAGATCCAGTCCCAAAAAATAAAAATAAAAGATTAGTAAACATAATTACCCAGTTATTCTAGTTCAAGGTTATGGGTGGCCAGGATCACCAGCTCAGGGTTTAAGGCGGGAACCGACCTTGGACAGGCAGGACACACCATTCCATCACAGGGTGCACTCACAAATGCCCCCACCTTCACTCATTCTGGGACCATTTAGACATGCCAGTTAACTTAATGTGCACATCTTTGGGATGTGGGAGGGAACTAGAAAAACCAGAGAAAACTCATACAGATATAAGGAGAACATACAAACTCCCCATAGATGGTGGCCCCAGCCAGGAATCAAGTTTTTTCTCATCAGCATAAGATATGACATTGAAAGAAACATGGTTATTTGAGGACCTGCCATGATTTCTTTCTAGTGTTTGTTAGAAGCAGTGAGGAAAAGAAAAGGGAAAATATTAAGGAAAAATTTCTTTCACTAGCACTTTTCCATGTGTCTGAGGTGACAAAAGTTGTCATCATCATTTGTAATTAAAATAATGTCCATTACTACCTAGAAGATCAAGAGTGGATTCATATATCTGCACAGACAAATATACTCTTGACATCCCAGATTTCAAATTCAAACGCATTAGAAGTAGTAGTGTGGCTGTAGGCTTAACTCCAATATTCCCTAGTCCCAAGACTTTGAGCAAGTTACTTAACCTTCCTACAATTCAGTTTGAACATCTGTAAGATGCAATGATGCCACCTTCCCTCTACATTTGTTGAGAAGATTAAATAAGATGATGATCAGAAATGGTCTATTAAGGCACTTATTATAGTTGTTTATGTTATATGTAGTGGTAAATGTAAAGCACTTAGAACATTGTCTATTCAGTGTTCAGTAACTATAATTATATAGCTGTAGTTATTTTTCTAGAGACCTCTTTGTTCGTGTACATTATGGATAGAGTAGGCTTTTAGAATCTGGCCCAACCGACATAAGGGCAAGTGGGTTGAAGATAAAAGTCACATAAGTGAAAGTGTAAATAGTCCCCCAAAGATGCTCTGCCCAATGCGGTTTTGTCTACTTAGACTCTGTAAGCCTGTGTAGACAGTTAGGCCCTATTGATTATGTTTGTAAACTAGTCACAGCTGTAGGAAAATCACTTAAACAAGATCCAGCACTCAGCTGGCTCTGTCTATTGCAATCACTATTTTTGAATGGAGGAAGAAAGCGTATGGGGAATTACTTTGTGAGCAGCTGTATCACCAGATGGTCTTAGGCACTATAATTTACAAAGCAGAACACATGTACATACAATATGAAGTCCATTTCAGACTTGGCTCAAATATATCAATAAAAATTTTTGTATTACAAAAAATTCCAATGTGTAAGGTTCTATAAAATAGTTCAACATTTTAAAAATATGTCAAGTTTTACATAGTATTCTGGTTAAAATAGTTAAAAGACAATCTATTTTAGATAGTAACTGTTCTTCTAATTTGTTGTTATTTGCAAATACAGTAAATGGTTTTATTTGCTGTGTGTGGAAAAATAGAAAATCCAGAAGTTTCTGGGGAATGGTGAAGGTGGAAGGCAAACTGCAGTTGGTTAAGGAATTAATAGAAGGTAAAGAAATGGTGACATGGAGTACAGACAACTTTGAAGTTTATTTAGCGATGAAGGAAATGAGAGAGACAAAATTTCCCGTTACATTTTAAGAAGTATTTATTATATTCAATCTTATATGTTGTAACTGAGTAACATTGTGTCTAATCTTATGTGTATGTATATACACACACATTTTATGTATATATAATCTTCAGAATGAATTTTGTGTCAAAAACATTCTTTTTAAGTGTATAGAACAATACAAATACTGGTTCTTGGTCATATTTCATGGAAAAATAATTTATATAGTGCTTTTCTTTTTTCAACTTTCATATTTTAGAAATGTTCTTTCTGCGATTTTTTAAAACTCAATCCACAGAAAACTCAGACATATAATCTTATTGCTATAAGTCAATGAAGTTACTTTAATTGTTGAGAGAGTCAATGTTCAGTTAATTGTTTTTCTGTTTTCAGAGTTGTTGCTGGGGAAGAGTTAGGAAGAGTGAAAGTTAACATGTCCATTAGATTCTTTCAGATACTGCTGGTTCTTGATAAACCTTTTGGCAGCAGCTAGAGTTTGGTCAATTAAAAGTTGTTAGTGTTCTTCACGGTTGATTTGTGAAGCCAGATCCACATGCATTGCATCCTTCTAGCAAAGTTAGAATTCTTTTATCAAAATGAGCTAACCTTGCTAAATTATTAACCTGACATTACACGTAATTCAAAGCCATTGTAATCTAGGTGAGCATAATTTCAAGGCTCTTTTATCAAATAAAGTACATGAACTTTGTCACAACTGTTTCGTACAGACCAAGGGTTAGTTGTTTATTTTTTCCTGAGACAGTCTCACTCTGTCAACCTAGGTAGAGTGCTATAGCATCATCCTAGCTCACTGCAACCTCAAACTCCTGGGCTCAAAATGATCCACCTGCCTCATCCTCCCGAGTAGCTGGGACTACAGGCATGTGCCACGATGCCCAGCTAATTTTGCTATTTTTAGTGAAGATGGGGTCTCACTCTTGCCCAGGCTCATCTCAAACTCCTGAGCTTGAGCAATCCTCCTGCCTTGGCCTCCCAGAGTGCTAGGATTACAGGCATGAGCCACCATGCCCGGGCCAGACCAAGAGTTTTTTCAATTACTTCTAAGTTCACAACTTTGTTGCAGATAATTGAAGTTGTCAAAAGTGTGAATGTAAGATAAGTGATGTGTTACTCTGTGTATAGATGTGCATATGTTTTTCTTGAACTGATAGACCAATTGATATAAATTTAATGAAATTATTCTTTAAAAAGACTATGATATTGACTTATAGTTTGTGATCTTAATATGAATTAATTTCCTTTGATGAAAATCTTTATCAAAGGTACTTCCATCTGTTTCACAAAAATACGTTTCCTTTGTTCTAAGATCAATTATATACTTTTTTAACTTTTGTACAAAACTGAATTTTAGACTAATAAATTATTTTATACTTTTCTGCTCACCCTTATTTTATATTATATATAAAATTATATTATATTTATATTATATATAAAATTATATATAAAATTTCTTTATAAGAAATTAAGGCATTTTTCAACATTTCAAACATTAACCACCACTTCCCCCAAAAAACTTTCAAAGGTATGTGATAAAGTTATACTCACTTAATTTTACTGTAATCCTTTAATAAGTATTGTAATATTTCCCCTGATGTTCCCTAATCATCAGAAAAAAAGTAATTTTAACTGTATCCATTCCAAAGATAAAGAATGGGAGATTAATTTATTTCTGTGTACTGGCCAGAATAGAGAAAGCAGGACTCTTAACATGGTACTACTGTGGATCACTAGACCAACTTCCAGTTTCCCATACAAAATTATAATCTCCTTGAGTATCTGTATGGCCATGAAGTTTAGAGAAAATGCTGACTGTAATCTATAGGTTCGGCTTACTAAGGTTTATTTCGAAAGAATGGAGTGAAGTAGTATGACAGTAATGTTCACAGACAAAATTAATTTTACAGAGATAATGTTGAAAATTTTTGCAGATATTTGAGAGTATGAAATAGTTGATACCTCAAGCATTTTTGATGTATGGGTAATATTGAAAGATTTCATTGGCTGTTTTGAATGATATAGAGGATTCCACTGAAACAGCAATTTTGGGGGTTAAAAAAAGCCTGAAATGTTTGTTTTAACATTAAAAATTAAAACATTTTATAATACAAATTGAGTATCCCTTATCCAAAATGCTTTGGTACCAGAAGTGTTCTGGATTTTTGGATGTGGGTTGCTCAATGATTGCTTGTAAATATAAAAATTAAAAGAATGTGTATTGGCATCGTAGATTTGTAACATAGCCAGATTAGGAGTTGGATTAGTAATGCCATAATAAAGTCACTAGAGAAAGTGCTTATTTTTGTGATACTAACTTGATATATACCTTATATGTTTGTCTCATAGTAGAGCTTCTTGGTATAGTAGTTAGGATATAATGCCTATAGCTTTTAACATAGATCCAAATTAACACTGGATTAAACAACGTAGAGTTTATGTATTTTTTTCTCATGTCACCATCTGGAAATGGGCAGTCCAAGGCTGGTAGGACAGCTCTACTCAGTGAGATTGTCTAGGGACCCAGGTACCTTATAATTTCTTATTCTACTATCCTTTGGTGTTTGCCCTTTACCCTGTAGTGTGAGATGGCTCACCCTCACATCTGCATGCTAGCCAGCAGGAAGAGGAAAAGGCGAATGGTAAAACATGGCCGAAAAGTTGCACATATGACTTCCATTCCCAACTGACTGGCCAGAATTTAATCACATGGCCTACCTAGCAGCAAGAGAGTTTGGGAAATATAATCTTTTATTCTGAATAACCATGTGTCCAGCCAAAATTCAGGAGCTCCACTGGTATAGTTAAGGAGGGCCTATTGGAGCCTTTGAGTTCCCTAAAATTGTTTATAAGTTTACATAAGTATTTGTGATTGTATACTTTTCTGGGAAAAGAGGGCATAGCTTTCATCAGCTTCTGAAAAAGGTTTGTGACTCAAGAAAAGTTAAGAACATTTAGATATTTGTAAAAGAATTTAAATTATTTATTCAATATAACATTTATTTTACTAGCTCCATTCCAATTGATTACAACCTGTATCGAAAATTCTGGTCACTTCAGGATTACTTTAGGAACCCTGTGCAATGCTATGAGAAGATTTCATGGAAAACTTTCCTCAAGGTAAGTTGCCAGTCAGACTTTATCAAAAGCCCAATATTTTATAACTGATTGCATAGCTAAAACTTACTCTTATCCATCATACTTTACACTGTATAATTTTTCCTCTTAATATTTTTATACTTATTTCACAATATATGTTATGAAATGTATACATTGTACAATAAATTATAAATGAATATTTAAACCACTGATTTTATAAAGTAGCTTATAAATCACCTGGGTATTTAAAAGTTAGTGATTACAGCCTTGAGTTTTTTATATATATAGTAAATGTTGTCAGCATAAATTGATAATTTTTTTATAATACATTCTGTCTTTGCACAAAATTATTTCAGCTATCCTTTTAAAACAGGGGTCCTCAAACTATGGCCTTTGGCCAAATCCAACCTATCGCTTTCTAAACAAAGTTTATTGGAATACAACCATGACCACTCATTTATCTGCAATCTGTGGCTGTTTTTGTGCTATAATGGCATAGCTGAATGGTTGCAGCTGAGACTCTATGAGCCCACAAAACCTAAAATACCTACTATCTGGTCCTTTACAGAAAAAGTGTGCCAACCCCTGTTTTAAAAGAATTGACTCTTTTTATTTTTCTTGGTACTTAAAGATCAGTTGTCCTTTTTTGATAAAACCTAAATCCAATATAAATAGGTAGCTCTTAAAGTTACATGTATGTATTCTATGTTGTTGTTATTATTATTATTATTATTATTTTTTGAGACAGAGTCTTGCTTTGTTGCCCAGGCTAGAGTGAGTGCCGTGGCGTTAACCTAGCTCACAGCAACCTCAAACTCCTGGGCTTGAGCAATCCTACTGCCTTAGCCTCCTGAGTAGCTGGGACTACAGGCACACACCACCCTGCCTGGCTAATTTTTTCTATACATTTTTAGTTGACCAATTAATTTCTATTTTTTTTTTAGTAGAGACGGGGGTCTCGGTCTTGCTCAGGCTGGTTTAGAACTTCTGACCTTGAGCAATCCACCTGCCTCGGCCTCCCAGAGTGTAAGGATTACAGGTGTGAGCCACTATGTTATTTTTAAGAGTCTATTTTACATGCAGTTTTTTGGTGAGCGAAGGACACCATCCAAATTCAGGGTTATTATTTAGTAGAAATCACCTGGAATTGTCTTCCAAGTGGAGAGAATTTGACATCATTGTTTTATTTGGTCATAGTCTTTAAAATAAATGCTTGAGAGTTTTCACAGCTGGATAAACAATTTCACTGGTAAATTTCTGTGTGTTCTCAAAGCATTTCTTTCTCAGCCCTTTACAGTAACTTCATAAGAAATCATGTTTCTTTAGGAGAGTTTATTTTTACTTTTACAATACCATGAAATCTCATACAAAATAGTTTTTACCCCCATTTTGCTATAATTTTTCTTGTTTAATGTGTCTTACAATATATATATTTGGTTGGCTGGGAGTAAATTCTAGGTATTTTGATACAGAAAGACAATGAACAAATTTTGGGGCAACAGTTCAAGTAAAATTAACTAATATTTTTATTTTGCAGTATTCTGAAGAAGTTTTAGCTGTTTTTAAAAGTTATAAATTAGATGATACTCAGGCCTCAAGGAAAAAGATGGAAGAATTGAAAACAGGAGGAGAGCATGTATATTTTGCAAAATTTTTAACAAGTGAAAAGGTATAAATCTTTTCTTTTTCACTAAGCATAATAAGAAACAGTTATGTTTTATTTCTATTTAGCTGATTGCCATTTTATGTTAACTTGAATAGAAATATTTCTTAAGTTATTTTTGGTTAAAGCTAGAGTCCCATTTCTTCCTTGCACAAGTAGAATTAATTTGATATCAAAGGTGAAAGAGGCTATTCTACATTAAGTCTGTTTTGTAGATGTATTTTGGAATAAATGCAGTTTAATTACTTTCAAGTATATATATTTTAAACCTCAAGTTAGAATTTAATTTGCATTTATGGAAATAATATTTTGTAATTAGTTTATCATCTAGGTATAAATAAGAGATTTAAAAGTTCCCTGTTAATCTTGCTTATACATTTTTAATAAGTAAATTTTGTTCAAATATAATGGTACTGGATTGTGTAAATTTTCTAGTTAGATGGCACATTGAGCTTATGTTTCAACTCAGTCCTTTGCTCCAGACACATAGCAGTGACAGGTAAAGTGTAAAAAGAGAAAACAAAAAATACAAAGCTGGACTTCCAAAAACAAGATAAATATCTTTGTGGACGAGAAATGCCAAGTAGTGGGCAAAACTGAAGCCTTGGCCTGCTGGACTCTATCCAGAGCAGGTGGTTTGCACCCAGGAGTTTGACTATAAGTAACAGAGACCAAATGTGCTCCATGTGGGACCAGGGGCCAGAGCCAGATACACTACTTGAAGCCAGGGACTGGGCCGGAACTTTACTCACTTTTGAAAAGAAACTAAAAAAAATATTGCCAATCTTTTGCCAAGGGCTATGGTTTTATAGGAAGTTGCAGTCCTAGGGATAACAAAGACACAGCTTTGTATCCATCTTCTTGCTCAGTGACCGGATATGTGATATCCCAGTATACTCAGGAAATAGCTGCTCCAAAAAGTCACCATAAGACTTTTTCCAGATTTGGGCCCAGGGGCCCTGGCAGAAGCAAATGCAAAACTGCTAGACAGGAAAGGGTGTACACAGACAGGTAAAGAAGGAGAAGTAAACAAATATCCCAAAAGAAAAGGCTCACATTTAAAACTCTTTGATAAATTAAAATTCCAAAATCCATAAAGAAATCTAATACTAAGAAATATCACCAGCAAAATCAGCTATTGGGATATACATATATTTATGCCAGAGGAAAAACACAGCATGATCAAGACTTTGTATTTGTTTTGGATACTCAAAAAGATAATTGACGAGATAGCATCTACTGAAAGAGAGCAAGAAATCATAAAACAGAAGCAGGCAGGAAGAAACTAGGACTGTTGATTATGACTATGGATTGGATGTCTTGGAAATTTTAAAGTAATAATCATTGAAACCAAAGCACAGCACACAGAATTAAACTATAGATTAGACGTGGATGAAAAGAGAACTAGTGAATTGGAGATAGTGATGAGAACTTCATCCAGAATGCAGCACAAAGAGGCAGATTTTTTTTTAAGTGAAAGAGCAATTAAAAGCCATGAAGAATAGATTGAGCATTTCCAACATCTGTCTAATAGGATTTCCAGAGAACAAAATGGAGGGAATGGTAGAGAAACTATTGAAAAGAATTGAAGGAAGACCCAAGTCCTCAGCTTTAAAGGATGCTACAACTACCAAGCAGGATAAAGAAATATAAATCCACACTTCAGCACATCATACTGTAACTCTAGGAATACAGAGGAAACCTTAAAGCCACCAAAGGATAAAAAAGATATACTGGGAAGGAACAGCTATTTGACTATTAGTAGATTTATGATAGATATCAAACATCAATATCAGAAGACAGTGGAGAAATATTAAAGTGCTGAGAAAAAAATAACTTTCAATCTAGAATTTCATGCCCAGCTAAATGCACTTAAGACTGGATGAAAGAAAGACATTTTTATTCAAAGATTGGGAAAACTTTCCACTCAATGACCCTCACTTTGAGAAACACTAAAGGATGTTCTTCAGGAAGAAGGAAATTGAACCCATAAGAAAGGAGTGGGATACAAAAAACAATGGTGAGCACAAAACTTGAAAAGTATGACAGTAAATTTACCTTTGACTATAAAAACAAAGTCCTAACAAGTGATTTAAAAAATTTTTTATAATTAAACAGATTTTTATTAATGTGGGACTTCACTAAATGACAGCAGAAACAATATGGGAGGGGAAAGCAGAGATGTTTAATGAATAATTTAAACTTATTATAGTCCTTGTAATCTTCAGGAGTAAGAAAGGAAGGCTGAATAACTTTAGACTTTTTATGTAAATTAAAAGAGTAACTACTGAAAGAAAACCAACCTCTTGCTCCCAAACAGCAAACAGATCAAAAGGGAGGCAGGGAGGAACCTAGATTACTTTATAAATCCAAAGACAGCAGGAAGGGAAGGAAAAAGGAACAAAAGGGAAGGTAGAAATGAGTCCAAATATATGGGTAATAATAGGTATAAACTGATTTAATTTACCTAATAAGACATTATCAGATTGGATTTTTTAAATTCCAGCTCTACTTGTTAATTTGAAAGAAACATAAACTCTTTTTGGTTGAGTAAGGAATTCAAAACTCTTACCTGTGTGGAAGAGGGGAAGACAATCCCAAAGTTCTTCTCTTTGCTTCTCAAAGACATACACCTTTCAGAAAGCTAAGGTGTCAATTTTATTTTGAGAACAAAAAAGTTACAAAATAAACAACCAGTAAGAATTGTATACTTTTAGGCATTATGAGTATATTTCCTAGGACATTTCAACTTTGTGGATGTCTTAAAAGATTTTTTTTTTGTACAAGTAACATTTCTAAGGACATCTTTTTTTAATTTTTATTTCTTTTTAATATGAAGGAATAGAGGTTTGTGAGGAGGGATGTTCAGTTGCCTTCAGTAGAGTGCAGTGGTGTCACTAGCTCACTGCAACCGCCAACTCCTGGACTCAAGCGATCCTCCTGCCTCAGCCTCCTGGGTAGCTAGGACTACAGGCACATGCAATGCACAGCTGATTTTTTTTTTCTTTTCTTTTCTTTTTGGTAGAAATAGGGACTCAATCTTGCTTAAGCTAGTCTCACACTCCTGAGCTCAAGCAATCCTCCCACCTCAGCCTCCCAGAGTGCTAGGATTACAGGCGTGAGCCACCACACCGGGCCAAAGGACATCATAATAATAGAAAACAGCAGGAGTAAACATTTTCAGAGAAATCTCCATATTGGAGTGTGAGATTGGTGCTTTCATATCATTCTCCATTTACTTTATCAGTCTTGGCTTTCTAATGTTTCCTTTTCTGTATCTTTGTGAATTTGCTTTCACTTAGCAGTTAGGAGAGCATGGGCTTTCAAGCTTAAGCACTAGAATTCCATTAGTTAATTAATGCCATGAGGAAGGTAAAAGCAGCTTTAAGAAGCTTAAAACTTACATTATGAAAAATAGAAAAGGCACAAAGAATTGTACTAAAGAGAATATAAGGCATGTAGTGTTTTGCATTTTCACATCCCCTCTTTGTTGCCTCTTAAACAACAAACTTCTCTTAAATTTAGAGCCTTCTTATACATTTTTCGTATGTTTCTGGTGTATTTCCAGTGTTTACTGCTTAATATCCAAGTGAAAATATTTGTAATGCATTACCTATAGCATTAAAAATATGCTGTAGGTAACATTTCATAAGCTTTACTGCCCCAATGAGAAGGAAGCTTTCCAGCATCTCTGTACCTTAAAATACCTTACACAGAGTTTTAATCCCAGGATTCCCAAAAAAAGCCATCCCCCCTGAATACATGCCAATCTCTGGTCTGATGTTACTTTCAACTTTCTTTTGATGTAGATTTGCTAAATCATGGAAAAGCACTCATTTTTTTCAGAGATATTGGTACCTTATTTCTTGCCGGTAAGAAGTAGCTAAAGTGAAATCTAAAGCTATGATTATTTGGAGCATAATTTTATCACCTGTCATTTCATTGGTGAGCAGTTTTAGAGAAGTGGTCTTGCCATTACATAGTTAGATCTTACCGTTGCAGGAGGGCCCGTGACCCATGCCAGTGGGGTTATTATTACCCAGAAGCACCATGTTTTGCTTACATGAAGGTGGTCAGACTTTTCCTTAGAGAGAGCCAGAAAATGATGCATGGCAAGGATGATATAATTTTATAGTTAGAGACAGGCAAATCATGTGGCAACTACCGGAAGGCATAGGTTCCACAAATAAAATAGGAGTCTTTGTAAGTTATTGTACCTTCTTTCTGGGTTTTTTTTTTTTTTTTTTTTTTTTGAGATAGTTTCATTCTGTTACTCCGGCGAGAGTGGAATGCCATGGCATCAGAGTAGGTCATGCAACCTCAAATTCCTGGGCTCAGTCAATCCTTGTGCCTCAGCTTCCCAAGGGACTACAGACGTGCCCCACCATGCCCATTTTTTCTATTTTTAGTAGTCTGGCTAATTTCTTTCTATTTTCAGTAGAGTTGGGGTCTCGATGTTGCTGAGGCTGGTCTTGAACTCATGACCTCAAGCAGTCTGTCTCAGCCTCCCAGAGTGCTAGGATTACAGGTGTAAACCACCATGCCTGGCCTGTACCTTCTTTCTTAGAAGTTTCCCCTAGATATCAGTTGCTAAATATAGTGCTGAAACATCTGTGTGTGTGTGTTTTCTTTTATTTATTTATTTTTTTGAGATAGGACCTTGTCCTGTTGCCTGGGCTAGAGTACAGTGGTGTGATCATAGCTCACTGCAGCCTCAAACTCCTGGGCTTAAGCAGTCATCCTGCCACAGCCTCCCCAGTGTCTGGGGCCACAACCGTGCACCACCATGCCTGGCTAATTTTTCTATTTTTTGTAAAGACAGGGTCTTACACTTGCTCAGGCTGGCCTTGAACTCCTGGCCTCAAGCGATCCTCCTGCCTCAACCTCCCAAAGTACTAGGATTACAGGCATGAGCCACCAAGCCTGGCCTTTTACTTTTTTAATGGAGTGGACAAGTAACCTTCTTTAAGGTTAGTCTGAGGTCATACACAGAAACTTTAATTAAC